CCCCCCCCCCCCCCCCCCCCCCCGGCCCTCGGCTATAGAGGAATGGGACAGCAAACGAAGGGGTTGTTGTTTCAACGCTCCTGGCATTTCCGTGTCTCTCCTCTCTGTGACAGCCGGAGGATGACGTGAAGAAGCGCAGCAGTCAAAGGAAGGTGAAAAAATGAAGTGGGCTGTTCCACCCGCACAGGTAGAGAGCCAGACAGGCAGACGATGCCCCCTGCTGGCCGTAACACATATTCATGTAGACAGTAGAGACTAGTAAACTTTGCATACATGGCATGGATGCTGACACACTGAAACACTCTCCCAGCATTTCAGAATAATGTAGATGGTGCGTCATCAATGCATTGTGAATATGACAGTAACGTAAAGAGTAACTAATTGTATGGATACATCAGAGTATAAAAGAGTAATGAGATTATTAAGCATAAAAGTTCTACTTATTGCAGGTAAATATGTAGGCCTAATTTAACTATTTTCCGATATGTACCACAGATATACAGCAGTAACACATTCCCTATGATTGACATTTTTTAATTTTTGCATTACATATCAATTTAAATCTTTTCTCAATTGTTTAGGACCAGATGTCTGATGCCAAACTTCAACACAGACCACTGTGAACGTTGGACGAGGCAGAAAGGACATCAAGGCAAAAGGAATGAGGATGGATTGGGGAAAAAATAACTTCTAAACAGCACTGGAATCACAGAGACGGCCATCAGCGAGACACAAACCCGCACATGGTCGTCTGCTTGTAGTTTTGTTACCATTTTTAATAAGAAATGGCTTTAGCTTAGAGGCATGACTTTTATATATAAAAACAAAACAGAAAAACATACTGAAACCAAGACAAAGTGCTTCCTGTTACACATATAAGCATGACTGCGTCCGTGCATGAACTCTCCTTGGGCGGGGGTGTGAAGCCACGGTTTACGAGGCAGCCAGTGTCTCGCGTGTCACGTTCCCTGGTGCTCGCGAGTTTAATATTGGCCCCCCCGCCGCGGTGGCCCCCGAGCCCAAGCTGCTCTTATGTGTGGTATATGCACAGTGATGATTCCCCGTCAAGCTGTGTGCATGTGTGTCTGTGTGCTTTTGCAAAGTCCTCTTTGGCATGCGCTGAGGTGTGTGTGTGTGTGTGTGTGTGTGTGTGTGGCCTGGGAGAGGCGCAGACCACGCTGATGGTGCAGCTTCCTCCTGCTCCACCAGCAGCAGCATCTTCCTCTCACAGTTGCATCCTCTCCATCGGTACCCAGGAGTGTCAGTAGCAGCTTTGCTGGCATGGAGCCTCACTGACACGTGTTAAGGTGTAGCGTTCAGCGTCTGCTTGAACAAAGGCTCTCTCCTGGCGTGTTCTCTGGGTATTGCTGTGCCAGAGGGTTCTTTCCTTGACATCATCTTCTTTCCACTCAGGAGCACAGAAAATGCAGAGTTTGTCACTGTGATCATCAGTGTGAAACTGACCCCAGGACTGTGAAGCCTGACACTTTCCTGCTTCACCAGCTTCATTCCCACCACCTTCTACATAGACACACACACGCAGACACAAATTCACAAACACACACAGTCCTGTGGGTTGTGGGAAACCCATGTTAGCAATAATACTGGAAGAACTGAATTGTAGTGTGGATTGATTTGTGTGTTTGAGTGCATATGTCTGTGACTGTGTGTGTGTGTGTGTGTGTGAGTCTGTGTCTGCATCTTCGTGTCTGTATGTACTATGTGTGTCTGTGTATGTTTTGAATGTGTATGTGTTAAATGTTTCTGTATGTGTTGAGTGTGTGTGTGTTTCTGTGTCTGTGTTGAGTGTGTGTGTGTTTCTCTGTATGTGTTGAGTGTGTGTGTGTTTCTCTGTATGTGTTGAGTGTGTGTGTGTTTCTCTGTATGTGTTGAGTGTGTGTGTTTCTCTGTATGTGTTGAGTGTGTGTGTGTGTGTTTCTCTGTATGTGTTGAGTGTGTGTGTGCTTCCACATACTCCTTGAGCTTCCAGGCCTGGCAGAGTAAAGTCAGGTTTTCCTCCTGAAGGAGTTTTTATACGAGCTCAGACACAGATTCACGCTCTGCACAGATACCCTCATTTACGCTCTTCCATGGAGGGACAGTGGCTCCTTCATCTATACACTCACAGCTGCACAGATGCCCCCCCCCCCCCCCCCCAATGCTGGTGTGGCGCTGTCCCAACATTGCTGTCTTGCTAGAGTCACAGCCATGCTATGGATAAATTGCGTGGGTACAGATATGAATTGTCTTCCCATGAAAAAATGGGTGGAGGACAAAGTTTCTAGAATGCATTTCCCTTAAGTCTCTGTTTCCTGCTTATGTGTTTTCCTGAGTATTTATGTGTGAAGCTAACTGAGGCTCAAAGCCTACAGCTTGTCCGAGTTAAACTACTCACTGTTTCAGTCCAGTGTTTTATATCCTGTAAGAACCATGTAGCATTACAAAGCAATGTTGATTAATCTACTGATCTGTTGTTGTTGGTCACTAGCCTGTAAGCTATGTGTTTCCAAAGCCCGTTTGAGATTGAGGGATGTCCAGCCATGAGTAGCAGTGGACTGCTTGACAGGGCCTCTTCTGATTGGTTCCCCTTGAATGAATCACTGTGCTCTCATTGGCTTAAATTGGTCACCTGGGCACCAGCGTGCTCCAGCCGACCTTGATCTTATAGGTTGTAAAGAAGCAGCACCTGCCTGTCCATACAATGTGTTTGTAAGCTGGTTCTCGTTGGCAGCAGGAATGCACATTCCTGTTACGGTTCAGTGTGTTGTGAGTTAGCTGAAGGTTGTGACCATGATGAGGCCTGTGGGTCTCGTTCAGACTTGCTGACCCCTGCAAGTGTGCAGAAAGTAAGCTGGTATCTGAACACAACTGCGTTACACACTGCCATGTCAGCATAGTTTGCTGACCATATTATACACTGCGCATCAACACGGCATACTGACTGCATTACACACTGCATCTCAGCACACTGACTGCATTACACAAAGAACATCAGCACAGCTCACTGACCATGTTACACAGTGCATGTCAACACTGCACACTGAAAAAGCTACACTGCATGTTAGCACACCACACTGACCACGTTACGCTGCATGTCAGCACAGTGCACTGACCGTGCTACACACTATGAATCAGCACTGCACACCGACCGCGTTACACACTGCATGTTAGCTCAGCACACTGACCGCAATATTGCATGTTGGCACAGCACAATGACCGCGTTACACACTGCATGTCAGCACAACACATTGACTGTGTTCCACAAAATATGTCAGCACAGCACACGGACTGCATTACACGCTGCATGTCAGCACAGTACACTGACCACGTTACACACTGTGCATTAGTACAGCACACTGACTGCTTTTTACATGGAATCCATTCATGGAGGCAACTGATGTGATCTTACACACACGACACGCAGACATCACACACAAACAGATCACAAAAAGGATCATATCCACAAGACAGACACCCACACTTGGTGACAGGTGGCATGTGGACACTGGATGGGATTCCTCCTTTGCTCAGGGGTGACTGACCAACGTCCAAGCTGACCTGACTGAACACATGCAGAGAGCAGGAGACTGAGATGGTGTGGGTGGGGTTGGGTTAGGTTAGGTGCTGTGTGCTGGTGGGGGGTTAGGGTGAGCCCTACACTGTGACAGCCAAAGTGGAAGAAACCATCTGAAGGTAACAGGAAAGGAACATTTAGCGTTGTCCCATGGTTAGTCTGTTTAAAGTGTCATAAGAAGGACACTGAAATAATATTAATCAAGTTCATGCAAGCATTAACTGTAAAGCTGACCTTTACTCCTTTAGAATGGATTAATGACACTAATGCAATATCATTTTATTCTGTACTAAGGAATGCAACTGCACACATGCACAGAAAAAAATGTTTTTTTTTTTTTAATATAAATATATGTATAAATATATGAGAAAGTATATTTACTTAGAATGCTGTGCACTCTCAGAGTTATGTTATGGATGTACTTTTAGGATTTAAGCTAAACTTTAAGGGAATGCCACCGGTAGGGATCATACAAGCTTGGTAGGTTGTATTTTTCTTTAATCAACACTGTTCATTTCTTTTTTTATCGTTATTGGACAAAACATGTATCTATATATATATATATATGTATATGTATACACAAGCCTTTTAATCAGACTTACATGGAGATTGTAATAGAGCATTTACCCTGTACACTGGCACATTTACAGCAGTAAATAAATCTACCCTTATATCAAAGCTTGTCTGGCTCTTCTGTCTGTCATTGTGTACATTTCTGCTATTACCCTTTTCTGTAAGTATAAATCTGTGCACTTGTATGTTTCTGTAACTAGTGATATATCAGTCAATATATCAGTATTAGGTAACATTCATCAATAATTAAGATGTAACTATCTTGGCCAAGATTGCTACTGGATTCAAAATATTTTGTCTACAGACTGCAGTGGTCACCTACCCTGACATACATTTGCTTTAAACTGCTGTGCATGCACTATATTACACACACTGTAATGCACTACTCTCTATCCCATGCCATAATCACTCTGAGTAAGAATCTTTACCAGTTTCAACTATTGCACTCAGGCCAGAGATAAGAATTATGTTTCCACAAATTGGAGTAAAAATGCCCCAAATTTCACCCATTCAACACCAAGCTGTGGAACTATGACTAGGGACCATAATGACTACGTACTGCCCTCTAGTGGCAGACACTGGATGATTTCCTCCAAGTGGCAGACACTGGATGATTTCCTGACAGTTGGTTACTAATTTCAATCAAATGTAGGCCTATTTCTCTGCATCTCAAGCCTTCAGCTATGTGACTATTAACCCGGTGAGTTGAAGGTTAGAAGATGATGCTGACAAAAATGCTGTTTTAACAGATGCCGAGAACGCAGTGCTTGAGCCACTTCACTGCCACATGATGGAATAAAATAGGTGCAGTGATGAGGTAAATACTGCAGATGGCTGAATCAGGCCGAATAGTGCAGCCTCCCAGCCTCCCCCCACATTCACTGAAATGCACGTCCAGCCCCCCCTGACAGAAGGGTGAGGCAGGTAAAAAACATGAAGGTAATAATATAGTAGTTTAAATGGAGGCTCCTATAGCAGCGTTTCCTCTTTAATCCCACACCCTGTGCACTCCGTCCAACTAACAACATTCAGTCACATCCTGTAAATTTCCTGTTTCCTTGGAAACGGCAATCTGGGCCGCACCCTGGACGGGAGAGGAAGAGATTACCTTTCCTGTCCAACGGGGCCACTATTCTCCGTCTGTGCTGCCTGAGGAGAGAAAAGGAGAGGAACGCAGTGCTCAGAGAAGTGGGTAAAGAAAAAGGACTGCAAATGGAAACAGCACAGGAGAAACTGTAAGTGTATTCCAGAGAAGGCTTTCTGTATATACAGCCGCATGTATACTGTAACTGTTAAACTTCTTAAAGCTGCTCTGATTTCCCATTGAATGTGGTTTGACTAGGACACAGATAACACCTAAACACACAACTGATACCTGGGCACACAGCTAGTACATGAACACATAGCTTATACCTGAACACACAGCTGGTACCTGAGCACAGCTGATACTTGAGTACACAGTTGATAACTGAGCACACAGCTGATACCTGAACACAGCTCAGATCTAAAAATAGAGTTGGTACCTAAGCACAGAGCCAGTACATGAACACACAACTGGTAACTGAGCACATGACTGGTATCTAAGCACACAGTTGATAGCTGTGATGTTTCTTCTGAAGAGCCGCAAACCACATCTGAACGGCACTGAATGGCTGCCAGCGCTGAGTTAAAGTGTGAGCTGATCGACTTTGCATTAACTTATCATTCATGAATACCTTACGCTAACTGGAGTATTCAGAACTGTTAAACGACATTTACTGCCTTACAGGTATCTCTCTGTTTAGCCATGTGTGCAGAACATTGTGCAGAAGTCCAATGGCTCATCCCTGACAGTGAATGTGTACACCTGCATATCCAGAGGATCTATTTCATTAACGAAACAATGAGACCTAATTCAAATGTAGGTTGGAGAGACCAAGCATGTAAGAGGTGTTTGCTAGCGGATGCTGCCAGTGTCACACATGCATGCAGACATCAGGGTAGCACTGCAAAGCACTGCAAAGCAGCACTGAAAAGCAGTCAGAGGAATTTGCTTCTTGATGCTTTTGTTCTGGTTCATTGCCTTGTGTATTTACTCATCATACCATACAACAGGACCTAGGGTGGCATTTTCTCTTAATAAGAATATGTTCTGAAAACTGGAACATTTAAAGACTGTGTAAGATTGCAGAAAACTGGTCTCAGCATAGTGAATGTTTATACATCTTTCAGCTGAACAAAGAATGATCGTGTGGCCCTCTGAGCATCTGCAAGGAGCTGAAGTTGTCAGCTGAGGACACCAGCACTCTGCCCACTCTACTGTACTGCTTCCTGCTGAAGGCTGCTTCGAGCAGCTTCACGTTGATTGGATCCTGAACCTACAGCTTTGCTTGACTGGATCCTGGTCTTGCAGCTACACTTTATTTGAATCGTTGACTATGAACTTTTCTTTGATTGGATACTGGACTTTTGGCTTATTTTCCACTCAGTTGAGGTCTAGCTTTTCCACTTTACCACGGATCAATGTGATTGGCTGCTCAGTCACTGCTTTGGAGCCTGAGTATTGACAGATAATGTTAGGATAGTATAGTGGATAGTATAGTGGATAGTATAGTGTTATCCCGAACCACTAAAGGATCTGTAGATTCATCAGGACCACATCTATAAACACACAGAGATGGCAGAGTAAGACCTGATAATGAACACTGAACAGCAGTCCAGGATGATGTCACTGCTGATATCTCAACCACTCTTGCTCCTGAGCTCAACATGGGCATCCCAGACGAGCTCCCCTGCCCGGACATGTGACCCTCCAGTTCCTGCTGGAGGAGATGGGCCTACGGAGGTCAACATGATGACGGTGGTAGTGCTGGTTCTGGCCACTATGGTGATTCTGGCTCTCCTGCTTCGGCTGCTCCAGCTCCAGCGCCGGCTGCAAGCTGCCCAGTCCGGGGATCCTTTGGGATATTCCACTTTCTTCCGCTCCGCCCGCTATACCTTGAAACAGCCGCCCCTGGTTGCAGCAGCCACACCTCCCAAGCCATGTCACCCTGCGCTGCCTCGCCTGCCTCTCCCCCTTCCACCCATCCTTTCCCACTGCACGCCTCCCAGCCTGCGGGTCTCTGCGGCACCAGTGGCTCACACACCGCTGGATCATGTGGTGGCAGGTTGTGTGCCGTACTCCCGGCTCTCGGACCCACGGCAGACTCGCGTGTTTCTCTTTGAACATTCCACCCTCTGATCTCCACCATTCTCACCAAGACTCGTATCTGATGAAAAATGCCAAATGGTCTCTTTTCCTGATTTGGCTGCTGTTTCAGTGGGAGTCATTTTTTTCATTTTAAAGCTGTGTCTTAACAACCAAAAACACTTCTAATCTTCTACATGCATGATTTACTGTATTTTGGTCACACTGGCAGTGAATTGAGAAGATCCAGCCAAGGCTGGAGCCATAATGCAATCATACATGTATAAAGTGCTCCTGCAGAGAGGAAGGGTCTGAAACCCTTAAACAGTTTTAGAGAGCTAAAATGTTACCCTGTTTAACATTAAAGTCCCATCTGTCGGGCCAGACTGATTACCAGGCGAAGTTTAGGACTTACCCAACTGCGTATTGTGGCACCTCCGGAATAAATCTGCGTTCAAATTTTTCATTTCGTGTACAAGATATAAGTGGTTTTGTCTGAGAAACCCTATTTTGCAACAGGCTATGCTGACAGTTTGCCCTCAGTGAAGCCACATGGGGAACTACAAATATGGCGCCGTTCACACAAAACTAGGATTATTGGTCTAGAGCTCTGTTAAGCTCTGTTAATCAGAACCTGGAAAATACAACTAGGGGCCTATATCACGAAGCAGCATTTCCTGCTAAGCCAGAAAACTTGTCGGATATAAAGTAGTCTGCACTAAATATACCTGATTGAAGGTAAAGTCCATTTAAACTAGGGCACCTTGAATTTGACAAGTTATCCAGCTAAATAAGAAATCTAGCTTCATGATACAAGCTCCTATTCTCTGATTTAGTTCATGGCAATCCCAGTTTAAATGGACCTTATCTTCGTTCACTTACACTTGAATACCTTACCTTACCAGACTACCTTAAATACGACAAGTTATCAACCAATCACCTCTTATGTTTGCATGTAATCAGCCAACAGTGTCCCAGACAGGCTCACAACAGACAGGAACAAATATGCATGATTTTAGGATTTACAAATGTTTTGACAGTTAAACTTTATTCACTTTACCTGCGACTAAATGTTATTGGATGTACAGTTATTGAACTAAATTTAGTGGAAGCTAACTGGTCTGGTAACGGTTTCCTCTAACAAGCAATAAACTTCGCCAGTTAGCAGTTAGTGGATTAGCAGAACCATGCCCACCACTGCAGAGATGTGATCAGGTAGCTGGAAACCAGTGGTAGTTTTATGACAATAAAAAGCCAAAGGAAAAGAAAAAAGCATAAAATTCATATCACATGATATAATTTTAATGCCAACGTATAATCACAACTGCTCTTGTCCCATGTGAAACCAAGAAAGTTCAGCCATTCAAAAAATGTCTGACAAAGTATCTGAAACAGCACCACCTCTAGGTTGATAAAGGAACTTAAGTGAAGTAAAACATTTTCTGAAGCACTAGATATACTTCAATGTATTTCTTATCACCTTCACTTTGGTAGCTAATTTAATAGTTATTGAACATGAAGTGTTTTTAAACCGACACAGTGAAGCATTCTTCACCTAATCTTTGCAATGATGGGGACTGACAAACGTTTAACCGTTCAGAATATGAGATCAGTCAAGTCTGTTACACTGTTACTCTCATCATTAAACTCAATATCCTTTGTTGGTTTGTGGACAGGGAGCTGGTATACTCTAAGAGGCAAGAGTTTAATATACTTCAATTTGTAAACACTCTTCTTGTTTAATCTAGCTAATCCCATGTGTATACTGTAAATAAAAAGGACAATTTTTGTTCAATTTTTAATGTTAAAAAGGAACATACAATAAATCTTTCGAGAAATGTGAGATTTATAGTTTGCACTCGTCCTGTATATTATGGGATTAAATAAAATGCTGTTTTGTACCCATATGGGACGCGATTTGCCTCATATTTTCGGACCGCGAAATCACTCGTGGCCCTGAGGAGGAACCTCTTCATTCCATCAAAAACGGCAACGCTAGTGAGGATTAATAGTTTACCTTACCGTACAGTAAGTCCGACAAGTTATCTAGCTAACCAACAGATCTGATTTTGTGATACAGGTATGGCAAGCCAAATTGTCTTTTATTAATATATGTTACGTACTGAAATGGGCACGGAACGGAGACAGAGGAGCGGGAGTCCAGGAAGTCGGGGAAACGAAGGATTTATTGGGGAAACAAGGGTTTTACGGGGGAGACAGTCGGGCACACGGGACAATCGGACAGTAACGTCAATGACAGGACTGGGGGAAGACGAACAGGGAAGTACTTAAATACACCAGACTACATAGAACGAAACTAGACACAGCCGGTGACATGGGGATTCTACAAGGGGCAGTGAGGGAGGGGGGCGTGGCACACGGGGATCAGACGAGAAGGGCATGACAATATTGCATCTTATGTTATTAAGTTATGAATTATATTGAATATAATTCATAACTTAATTCTTAGGAGTAAAAATAACATTCATCATTTTTTACTAGTAAGAATATGAATTCAATATAGCTATAATGCAATTATTAGTAGTAAGAATGATCATTTTTACTAGTAAGAATGTTATTTTTACTAGTAAGAATTCATATTATAGAGCGCTATAAATCAGTTTTACTAGTCGTATGTTCCCATTGACTTCCATTTTGTTTTTGGGTCACATATGCCAAATTCATTTTTTACTAGTAAAAAGTCATATTGTAGAGCTCTGTAATTCAGTTCTTACTAGTAAAACTCCTATTGTAGATACATGTAATCACATTTTGACTAACTGAGTTTTTACTGGTAAAAATGTAATTGCATATTTCTACGAAGCAATTGCAGAGATATGAAATTCCACATATGAAATTACACATGTCCAAAATATGTACAAATATGTACAATCAGATGTGTGACAGGCATCCCCTCCAGATAGGGCATCGAACTGGGAGAGGATCCACTTGGGCGGCGCTAGAACACCAGGGATGTAACCCAGCGACATAATCTGTCCGGGAGTCATATCTCTCTCTCTCTCTCTCTCTCTCTCTCTCTCTCTGAACTGACGATGATCATAGCACTACGAACGTTTTAGGAACGCACGATTGCTGTTTAGACATCTGAGCTAAATAAATCACTAAAGGCTTGTGCGGATATATTCTGTATAGATAGGAGGATGGATGGATATAAGTCATGACGAGACATGGACTACTACCTAAATAATAAATGTACCACGACTACATGAATGGCACACCAGACAGCCGTGCAGGCACGAAGAACAGGCAGACAGCTGCACATGTGGCGCCGCGTTTGGCACCTGCGGCTTTCCGTGCCGTGACGTCACGGTCCCTTTAAACTTTACCAAGTATGGCTGCGCTCGGCAGCGATCGTCGGGTCAGCTACAAGCTGTTTTATTGACAGAGGCCAACTCATTCCGGCTATGAGCGTTTTTCCAGGTCTGTATCGTTGATGTGGTAAGTGGGGTTACTTGCAGTACTTCAAATGGAGATCAAAATGTCGTGCGAAGAGTAAAAGACAGAGTCCGTGCTAAGTGTGGAGTTTGAGGTCTTCTTTACCATCGCAAAATGTGCAGCCAGTGTAACGTCTAGAGTGTTTTCAGCCAGTATAACATCTGGAGTCTTTCCTGTCTTTAGATGCCTGCTGGTGAGGGCGTGATGTCGCAGGGTTACGTTGCCAGTGCCGTGTCTCCCTGAGGTGAACCCTTAACACCCCCTTACTGCTAAATATGTCTGTTCCCTCGAGTGAAGTGTTACCTAAATGTGTTTTTAGACAGCGTATTAAAACTTCTCGCGTCTAGTTTCCGTAGCGATATAAAAGTATGTTTGCAGCTGAACACCAGTTTAATGGTTATAGTAACAAATATTGTAACTGCTTGGGATAAATGATGCGTCACAGTTCATTAACGACGAACAAACATGAGATCAGTATTTTACATGTGTTATTCATAATTTGTTCCTACAGAATTTCCTTAAGTGGTTCCTTCAGTAGGTTTACATAATTAACAGGCATGGTAATAAATATAGTACTTGCTTGAGATAAAATGTGTGACAATTCACTGATGAACAAGATGACATCAGTTTGTAACTAGCACTTAGTTTGTGGTTGATTAATACATAAATAATATTGTATCCCCTCATGTAGCGTGTTACCCACATTTCTAAGGAAAGGGACCCCTTTGGTCCGTACACTGTCAGAGAAGGCATGACACCGCCACGTTTCCATGTTGTCCGTTTTGTGTCCCAGAAGTGTGCCGTGATCGTCATGGAAACCGCGGAGGCTGCCACCGGCCTACGGTGCCGCAGATGCAGGACTTGCGTGATGGACTCTTCCAGCCTGCTCCGGGTGGGTCCATAGTAGCTGGTCAAAGTTGCATTTCCTCGTCGCGGTTGGCTGTCGTTTGTCACCCTCACCAGACTTCTTCGAAGACTCTATATTACAGTGCCAGCAGGATCACCAGCCTTTCTGTGTCATTCATGTGCGTGGTGTGCAGTTAAACTGTGACCAGTGCTGAGCAGAGACTCTGCCTTTTCTAGATGAGCAAGGAGAGGGATGCTGCAGCCACAGCCAAGTGTAACATTTGGCATGTGAATTTTGACCCCTTGCCTGACTGGATCCACAGAGCCGTCCATCAGGTAGGAGTCACCTGATATGAACCTACTACTGACAGGCCACACTGGATAATTCCCATCTTGATAGATTATATGAGGCTCTTATGTGCCAGAGATGACATGAAAACAAAAGGTCCAGTGTCATGTTGCTCTCACCATATTCAAGACTGTTAAATAAGAGCGACCATCATGTTAATACAGAGTGCATGTCTGTCTATCTCTCTGTTTATCCCTGTTGGTCTGTCTCTCTCTCTGTCTGCGTGTCTGCAGCTGTGTGTCTCTCTCTCTCTCTCTCTTCGTCTGTGATTCTGTGTGTCTCCTCCTTTGTCTCCCCATCCCCTGGGCAGCTCTCTCTCCACACACGTCAGTCCGCTATTTGCCTGGTTAGCAGTTTGCTGCAGACTTTGCCTGGCCTGCTTTTCTGGAATCACAAAAGGCTGTGTCACTGCTCTCTGGTGCTTTCCCGTCCTCCTCTGCTCCACAAAGCCCACATTGTTCCACCTGTGGTTCTACAGGCCCAGTGGACAAGGGGGAAGCTGCTGTGTCCCCACTGTGGGGCTCGCCTGGGGGGCTTCGATTTCATGCGCCAAGCTTCTTGCCCCTGTGGCCACCAGCTGACCGTACACCTCAGTGAAAGCCGGGTGGACCGTGACCACAGGCTGACCGTATTCCTCAGTGACACCTGGGCGTACCGCAGTCGCAGGCAGCCCCGAGAGCTCCGACCGAGCCAGGAAGTGTGTCACCTGGAAGGTTTGGGGCTGCCCGAAAAGACCCAGAGCACAGCACCCCAGCTAATGGGGGGGGCAGAACCCTCTGGCCTGGCTGAACCCTCGCCGACATACAGAATTACTGGCGAGGAAACCAGCCCAGATGCACTGGCCACCACCACTATAAGGCAACAGCTTCCCTCACGGAGCAGCATGGAGGGAGGTGGCAGAGAGGGAGAAGAGCCGGGGGAGCGGAGGCCTGGCAGGAGGGAGCGGAAATACATGAGGAGCTTGCGAAGGAAAAGGAGAGGCAGGGAGAGAGGACTGCAGAGTCAGTGGCTGGAACAGCAAGAGGTGGGTGCCGGCTGGGGGTGGGGGGGTGTTTAAGGTACACCTGCGGGGGCATCGTATGGGCAGCCACCCATCCATGTGTGTATATGAACATGCAACTCTGGATGTGTGTGTGTGTGTGTGTGTGTGTGTGTGTGTGTGTGTGTGTGTGTATGAAATAGAGCTGTCACGATTACTCGATTATTAAAAAGCATTGAATAAAATCTGCCTAATCACTTAGCAATATGGCAGAAGGAAGACGGCATATAGAGAATGAGTAGGGCAACATCATATCGATGTTATATCACGCATGTGCTATAATCACCAGGGCTTAAGATGACGGGCGAAGCATTTGGCCGGACGCCAGCTTTTCAGTGCTATACGGATGTTTACGGCCACAATTTAAGCAGATTTAGTGGTACAGCTAAAATATTAATGAGATGTGTTTTGTGACACCCAAAAGTTAGTAATCAGTATAAACTTGGCGTATCTTTATACTTATTAAATTCGGTTAGAGGAGCACACCACATAATACTGTTGGTATACTATGGTTTGGTATACTAAGGTTTGGTATACTGTGCGATATGCACTGAAGTGGTGGTGAAGAAAGGAACAGCTCAGCAGCCACGACGCCTTTTAAAAGAAGAGATCTTGTGGATAAACAAGGTAAAAAGACGCTGGTGGTGTGGAGGTACTTTCGCAGTTTAAAGTCCGACACGTTTGTTAACCTGAAGGATATGCCAAATTTATACTGATTACTAACCTCTGGGTCTCACAATACGCCTCTCATTAATATTTTAGCCGTACTACTAATCTGCTTATCCAATTGTAGGCATAAACATCCATAAAGTACTGGAAGGCTGGCATCCAGCCAAATGTCTTGCCTATCATCTGAAACCTTGGTGATTAATTGATATACCTATATGATATCGCCCAGCCCTAAGGGTAAGGGTCCAAATAAAGCACTTCACATTAAAGGTATACGAAACTGAACTTGTCTGTTAGTATTGCAGAGCAGAACATAAATATCAAGACAGCATGACTGCAGTGCAAACACGTCTGAAAAGAAGACATTCAGGTTTGATAGCCTTACCCAAAGCCATAGGTATATAGGTATGGGCCACTTAGCCTCTAGTAGCCTAGCCTGTCTTTGTCATCACATTTACTCAAATTATTTTGTGTATTTTACTTTATAAGATTCCTGTATTTCATAATAATCACAGAACTTTTGCACTATTTGTTTTGTTTGTTGTGTGCATGTTTACACTGAAGGAGCTGTTCTTAATCCCTTTATTACATGTGTATAGTGACAATAAAAGGCATTCATTCATTCTACAGTTAATTATTTATTGTGAATGTATTCTGTGTTAGGGCTGAACGATACTGGAATAAGTTCAAATTGTGATATTTGAAGTTAATGGGATGTTTAGGAGTTGATAATGAACTACATAGCAAAATAGAACTTACCTACCAACAGAATCTGTCAAAAGCAGTTGGTGTCGCCCTGAGTTGTGCCAGCAGAGACAAAGCAGTGGCGACAATTCATTTGCTTTTGCTCAGTATTGCCTTTGTGAAATACAGAATATTCTCATTCATCAGAATATGGATGCCTTTTTGTAGCCGGTTCTTGTTTACTTTCTACTTTTCATTTATTTTTGTTTTCCTATGATTAACTAAAAAAGTTTTAGTGCAATTTTTTGGTGGTTTGAACCCAGCAGACTGTCGCGGTCGTGCAAGTCTGTCAGGGTGGCACAGTGGCGCGGTGGATATCGCTGTTGCCACACACTGCCACTCTGTGTTTGTGGAGTTTGCATGTTTGGCGGATCCTCCAGTTTCCTTCCACTGTCCAAAACCATGCAATTTAAGTGCACTGGAGTGCCTAAATTGACTGCATGTGTGATTGAGAGTGCACCAATTGTGATGTACTGTATATTATATAAAATAATATATATTATAAATGATTATTTGATGAATTGTCAGATTTGTCTCAATTATTGAAATTGATATATAATTGGTAGTGAGGGTATGAGTATGGACACGCATCTGCATGGATGTGTGTGTGTGTGTGTGTGTGTGTGTGTGTGTGTATTAACACACCTGTGCATGTGTGTATATGAAAATGTGTATGTGCGTGTTTGTATATTAGGCATCTGTGTGTATATTTATGAGTGTGTGTGTGTAAAAAAAGAGAACCACAGTGACTTGAGTGCACGTGTGTTTCTTTGATGCCCGGCTCAGCTGCTGTCCTGAACAGAAGCACCACAGCTCACCTCTCTGTCGCCCCCCTACAGGGCTCCACTGGAAATGCGAGCAGTAGTGATGAGGATGAGGCAGGCAGGGACAGGGAGGGCCTGACTTGTGCTGTGTGCCTGGACATCTACTTCAACCCCTACATGTGTCGCCCCTGCGGTCACGTGTTCTGTGAGCCATGTCTACGCACGCTGGCCCGGAGCTGCCCCAGCAACACCCCCTGCCCCCTGTGCCGCACCCCCATCTCGCACGTCTGCTTCCAGATCGGTACGGCTGCAAGCACCCCACCCCCAGGGCCTACACAGCAGCAATGCTAGTACTGACAGGGCTCCACCCTGTGTTGCAGAGCTCAGCCACACATCTCAGAGCTGTTTCCCTGAGGAGTACATCAGCCGCAGGCAGAACTTCCAGAAGGATAACTGCGCCCAGTGGCCTCTCCCCAACTGTGGGAAGATCTTTCGCATCTTAGGTGGTATGGCATTGGGGGGGGGGATGGTAACATACATCTCTGGGAAAAATTGAGACCACTCTATATTTAAAAGAAATCTGCATTTTTAAATCCTGGATCTGCTGGCAGAAGGCTACACTGCAAGGCTAGCTGGAGAAGGAAGCCCCTCATCAATGGGAGTCCAGGCTGCACTTAGCATAGTTTACACAGCTGCATACCCAGAAACCAAGAAATGAGTGAAACTGAAAAGAAAATGCTGTGACCTTTTATTTTTTCCCAGAGCTGTACATCCATCTTCCATACCTGCTTCTCTGTGACAGGGTCACAGTGATGCCACACCTCAAACCTCAACCTTTTGGGACTGAGCTCCGTATCGTAACCAGTTTGCACCCTGGTGACCAGCCATGCACGAGGGGGGGGGGGAGGTAGAGTACCAATGTGTACCTTTGAGGATACAGTTACTCGTCACAGGGGCCTTACCCTCAAGGGTAAGCTAACTGTACCACAGCTGTAGGTAAATGTGCATTTTAAGTTACCAAAATGGATTATGAGTATTATGAGTAACATTTTTGTACCATTGGGGGTACATTAATGTTGCTTGTACCTTGGGGATGTTCATCAGAGTCCATTTCTGTACCTTAAGTTAGACTTAAAAAGTATGTTTTCCTACAGCTGTGGTACAGTTGGCAGACCCTTGAAAGTACAGCCCCAGGGACAAGTAATTGTGCCCTGGAAGGTATAGATTGGTACTCTCATTCTGACGGTGCAGTCCTTCCTCAGTGCTGCAAGTGTTGGACCCCCTCCCACTGTGTCCCGCAGGGTTCCGGAGGCGTGCTGGTCCTGTGAGCCGGCGGCAGTTCCCACACGGCCCCTCGCGGCTGGACAGCCTGGCTTTTGAGGGCGACTCGCGGGGCCGGCGCCTTGACATGGACGTGCTCGTCGTCTACATCTACTCTGTCAACTGGCTCATTGGCTTCATCATCTTCTGCTTCCTCTGCTACTACTTCTTCTCATCTCTCTGACAGCTGCCCCCCACCTGAAATGTAAGCGAGGACCCTGCCTGCCGGGCTTCCGCAGCAGTGCCTGTGGCGAGCTGAACTTCAGGAGCAGACGGCAGAGGGATACAAAGGGGCACCTTAACAACGGTGCTGTTTTACACACTGACTGTTTATGACTCATCTTTGCTCAGTATTCAGCTCTAGCACAGCTGCTTTTTACTGCATTGACCTCTGACTGTGGCTATTGCCCTGGATCCAGGTATAAGACGGTCTTCTGGATGGGGTCTGTCTATCTGAATGCTTAGGGACCATCTTGGACGGAAAGCAATGATCTCTAGCATCAGGTACAACGGGTAAGACTGCATAAGCACAAAGGCTTACCTCATGGATCAGAATCCGGATCTACTGCAGTGGAGCCTCACCTGTTTGCTAACGGTGGCCATTTTGAAACACCGACACTGATCCCTCCCCTTCTGGGCCCCGTCTCAGGCCTGCCCCCTAGTGGCCAGTTGCTGTTCCGACAATGCCTGTGAACTTCAATGCAGTGAACTGTTCTGTGAGATTCAGTCCCAAAATAAAAAGGGTGTCCTGTGCTTACCTTAAAGGTAAATGTGCTTAAACGCTTCATGTGATTTAATAAGCTTTGTATCCCTGGAATAGGGGATACTGATCTCTTTCTGAAGTTTATCCGGAGGACATACTTTCAAAATAGGGCTTTTGATGTTTAGAATAGAAGAACTAAAAGCGACATTAGCTGTTCTCACACAAAGAAAATGTTTGAGTTTTTTGTTTTATTAAATTGCAGTTGTAATTTGTGTCCCAGAGGGCTCAGGAACAACGCCCATGTTCCGATCGAAATCCGAAGTGCTAGCTGGCATTGCAGCACAAATCCTCGTTCAAATTGGGTCATCTCTCATGCCTGTCAAGGTGATAGATCCTTATAGAAGGACCCTGCCGACGTCGCAGGGAGTAGCACTGTCTCGTGTTAATGTCGTCATTATTATTTTATTATTATAGTTTTTAATTCGCTATCTGTTATCTGACGTGCTGGTTGTTTGCCGCTTTTTGGGCGACACATGAGCGTAGAAAGGTTCATCATTATAAGACGTGATCACAGCCCGCTGTGTTAAGGAGCCGGAGGAGAGGCGCTCAGCATCCGACATGCCGTCTGTGCCTCAGTCAAGGTGACACGCCTGAGCGGGGCGGGCGGACGGCGGCGGTCCGGGCGGAGCTGTGCAGGGAGCGCCGACATCACCGTACCGTTACCCGCATTTAGCTTTCCTTTGGTCACTGCCCGTGTCTGCATGTGCGCTGCTCCGTCTGGCCGCAGGACTCGCCCGAGCGTCACCGGCAGCGTGATTCACGTCGGCTGCCAGCTGTCCTCCAGGGTCCTGGAGCGGGGACCGAGCTCGGAGAGTGTCCGCAAAGTCCGGCGAGCCCTGGAGGACTGCCGGATGGTGGGTGCGACCGGCGGCTCGGCGTATCTCCGGTGCCTGTCCATCCTCACCCCTCCGTCGGGATCACGTGTGGATGCGCGGTTTTAATATTTTTATTCTGACTATTGACGCTCCCCGCCGGTACCTGCGGTTCGGTTCCGGCTTTTCATTCTCCCCGATAATGGTTTGTTCTGGTACCTGCGCTTTCGGATGTTGGTGTATTATAATGAGAATAGTTTATAATGTTATTATAGTAATAAACCGAAATAATAATGATTGTACAGGGTACGGCTCGATGAATCCGGTGCAATCAAATATACGCATAAAGTAACAGCATCGGCGTATAGAAAGGTGTTATAAGCATGTTGTACAGTACCAGCTAAACCTCCGGTCCGGGGCTAAAGGAGGATCATTTTATTATTAGCTGGATAGTAGTGGTAGTGCACTAGGCCTGTGATTTACTCTAATGGTGCCGTCCAGCTTGTTTGTCTGAATTACGTCTGAAATCCCCAAAAGACCATGGCAGACTTGGACGAAAGTCTGGCTTGTTTTCAGACCGTCTCCGAGTTCAATAACCTGGTGGCGCTATACCGTGAACTCGTCATTTCCATCGGCGAGACGGCAACCGACTGCGCCTCCGTGCGGGGGGAGATGTGCAGGACCAGGACGGGAGCCTGCGAGACAGCGCTGGCGGCGCATCACAGCCTGTCCCTCATCCCGGGGTATGTATGGGGTTAGGCTTATCATAGTTAGGGTTAGGGTCATGGCCATAGAAATGAATGGAGAGTCACCACAGTGATGGAAGTATTTGTGTGTGTGAGCCAGTGAGATAAAGACAGATAGACATTCCTTCTTTGGTGTTTGTATGGTAAGGGTGATGGAGAGTGGGTGACTGCTTATGCAGAGTGACGTTATGAGAGATCAGCCGTGATTCCATGACGCACCTTTGTGCAGACAGACTAAAGCTTCAACACCTAAATCACATCATTTGTGCATTTTGAGCCCTTTAGTGAATAAATACAAAAAGCTGATTTTCTGATTACATGTAGTTAGATTCGTATGTTACCATTATAAGTCAAGTATCAAAATCCCACACACTGCTGTTTTCTTACTTACTCTAATAACTTTAATCAAAGAATTTAATTTACTGTATTACTAAATTGTTGCTTCATGGTGTTTCAAGCACTTGACATTTGCGTTACATTAAGTAACTGAATGTTCATACTTTGAATAAGGCTGAGTTCGCTGATATTAGGTAGGGTTTTCTAATGGTTTATGGTTGTTATTAATAATAACAGAATTAAACACAGTAGTGCAAAAGTGCACCAACCATCATTTGCCCTTCACTGTGGAACTTGAGGATGCAATTTGTGGGTGTTTCTCAATACCAAGAACTCAGAGAATGTACTTACTATCTTGCCTCCCAAGAACGAACTTGTATGAGGTGAATCATCGGAATGGTCTCGTTTGGTGAGGATGCAGCCGACGTGTCCTTGATATTTGGGGCAAGAATGACATGAAGGGATTTTTACCCTCTGTACTTCTGTTCTTGAGTATTGGATCTGGTCTTCGGCAAAGGAAGGTGACATAAAACGGGTACAAGGGGACACAAGTGTGGTCAAGTGCTCGTATTGAGAAGCACCCTGTGTCTATGTGTCTCCTCAGCCCAGAGGATGGAGGTATCCCTCTGGACATTTGCAGGCTCTTCATCCAGCTTCAGTGCTGTCTAGAGATGTTCATCACCGAGATGTTGAAGGCTGCATGCCTATTGAGCTCCCTGCAGCTGTACAGGAGAGGTACCACACTGATTTGCACGTTCACACTTCCAGCAAAGCATGCCCCAAGTCGTCATCTGCCTCCATTAATAGCACAGAGATCGGACTGGGTCATATTCCTCCAGGGTGTGAGGACATGGAGCTGAAAGTGGAAATCAAGGCTGATGAAAGCTCTGACACCCCTATTCTTCAAGAAAGTTCCTCCTCACCTACAGAAGGCTCACAACGTGGTTGGCTGGTGGGCGTGGACATTAAGAACACAGAGAGGTTTGTGTGTGTCTGTGTGTGTGTGGTCATGTATATATTACATTGTGGAGACCAGTGTAGCAAAAATCTGTTTTTTGACCTTGTGGGGACCATTTTTTTGGTCTCCACAAGGAGAACTCATTTTTATTAAAATCTGTGACAGCAATCCAAAAAATAAAAATGCCAAGTCTTGTATTTTGTTTGGACACTTATGGTTATGGTTAGGGCTGGGTAAGGGTTAAGGTTGTCATAGTTAGCATTGGCATTTTTCCCATAAAATCCAAAAAAGTGATTGAAGCCGTGTGAATCAATTTTTTTCTCCAGAGACATGAAGCAGATGAGAAACCTTCTCAGCAAACTCAGGGAGACTATGCCTTCACCCTTGAAGAACCAAGGTATCTTCCCTTTTCCGGAAGCATGTGTTTGTGCATTTCTTTGTGCCTGTTACTTGTACCAGTGTAGCTGGCTGAATGTCCGTCCAAATCCAATCCCCTGTGTGTAGATGACAGCAGCCTGCTGAACCTCGCTCCGCAGCCACTGATCAGACCGAGGAAGAGCCGCATCTTGAGGTTCTGCTGTCCTGCTAGGAGTTTGCACCCTGAACTCTGAGCCGTGGCCAAGGGGGAATATAGTCCTCAGTCATGCACCTCCTTCTTCAGCCAATACCACCAATTCCAAACTGGCTTTTCTTCTGTTGAAAAGCAACTTTTTTTGTATTTTTTGTAAATCACAGTATATAATGCAGCTGCAGACATAACACTTGATAGATCTTTTATTTATGTAGTAAGATGAACCAGATTGTCATTTATGCTTTGCATCTGATTGCCTTGCCGCAAGTGCGAAACATTGAATCAGGTTGAAAGGAGCAGTACAGCTTGAGAGTGTGAATGTATCATTATGATTAGCGCTCTGTTAGGGCCATGAGACGTGTGAAACCGCAGCGGCCCACAGCCAAGGTCCACGCTGAGGAGAACCGCAGTTACTCATGCGAAGTGATCAGCCACCAACCAAGCAGCTACAAAGCAGGAATTGCATTAACATTTTTGTTACAGATTTTATAATTCCGTAAACAACCATTTATTTTGTGCCATTCATTTTGTCTTCCATGTGCCATGATCCTGTACCTCTTTTGAATTTTTCATTCCAAGGAAAATAAAGTATTACGCCTAAAAGATATCAGAGATGCAGCAAATGGAAACGTCAGGCTTATAAGTAAAGCAATGGCCGATTGCAGGCGTTCCTGGTGGCGGATTTCACTGTTAGCTAGTTCAAGCCAGGGAAATTTTTGTGATCTTTTAAGAATAAGGAATACAGACACATGGTTAAACTGGTATGCTCTTTTCTGAAGACATTAGAAGATTAAGATGCACTTCATTGGTTCAAGGGGGGAATTCTGGTGCCCACAGCAGCAAGAACATGCACAGACAAACAGGCATATAGTGTCAAATAGAACGGTGCAAACACACCACTTATAGTGCAAACATAGTAAACTGAGTGCAAACACATTTTAAGAGAACATAGCTCATAAAGAACCATGAAAAGCAGAATATGGTGATACTGCAGAAAAATAATGAAATATAGTAATAATAAATTAGCAATGTTATATGTGCAATTAAGGAACACACAAACCCTTTACTCCTTCCTGTGTTCTGGGTGCGGACCGGCACACTGGGGGGAGACATAGTGATGTCTAATGGCAGCAGGCAGGGATGACCCCCAGCAAAATGAGCAAGTGGCTAAATGTGCTCCAGCATAGTGCTCCCTGAAGCAGATGTGCAGAATTGTTCATAATATTGTCCGATTTTGCCAACATCCTATTCTCTGCTACTGCTTGCAGTGGGTCCAGCATCAGTCCTGTGATGGAGCTGACCTTCTTGATGAGGTTTTTCTGCTGTCTCACATCACCTCAACTGATGCCGCGAGTTTACAAAAGCACTCTGGCCACTACGGACTGATAAAACATACACAGCAAAGATCTACATTCCTGGGTTCTCTCATGTCTTAGTTTGTCTGGGTGTCTGCAGTGTGGGTTTGTTTCTGTGATATAGGAACTGTGTGGGTTTGGGTTTGTTTCTGTGATATAAGAACTGTGTGGGTTTGTTTCTGTGATATAGGAACTGTGTGGGTTTGTTTCTGTGATATACTGTAGGAACTGTGTGGGTTTGCTTTCGGGATGCTGGAACTGACCCACTGCGACAAAGCAAATTTGAAGGCTTGATTTATTTATGCGCCGTCACTAGGTGGGGCTGCTTCCCAATCAAAAGTATGGAGTCTGTCTGAGAATTTTTGCCCATTCATCCAGAAGAGCATTTGTGAGGTCAGGCACTGACGTTGGATGTGAAGGCCTGGCTTGCAATCTCCATTCTAGTTCATCCTAAAGGTGTTCAGTGGGGTTAAGATCAAGGCTTAGTGTGGGCCAGTCAAGTTCTTCCACAATAAATTCATCCAACCATGTCCTTATAGACCTCACTTTGTGCAGTGGGGCACAGTCATGCTGACATAGAAAAGGGCCGTCGTCCCCAAACTGTTCCCACAAAGTTGGAAGCATATAATTGTGCAAAATTGCTTGGTATGCTGAAGCATTAAGAGTTCCCTTCACTGGAACTAGGGGCCTCGGCCAAGCCCTGGAAAGTGACCCCATACCACTACAGAGAAGAACAACCATCCATCATTTAGGAGGGAGGAGTTACCGAGAACAGTGACCATCCATCATTTAGGAGGGAGGAGTTACCGAGAACAGTGACCATTCATCATTTAGGAGGGAGGAGTTACCGAGAACAGTGACCATCCATCATTTAGGAGGGAGGAGTTACCGAGAACAGTGACCATTCATCTCTATGGGAGGGTGGGGTTACAGAAAAGGGTGACCATCCATCACTAAAAATAAGAGATATATTGAGGAAATGACTGTTTTCTCAGCTACAATCAACACAACCCCCTCCAGAAGAAATGGGAGGGGCCCACGAGGCTGCAGGCAGCTAACACACACACTCACACAAACACACAGCACAGATATCTAGCTGGAAGGTCCACTGAGAGATAACGCATTTAACGTTCTTCTCAGGATGTCTGGTGAGTTCAGCCTTGCTGTGAATGTGTGTTGTGTACACTTTATCTCATCATCCAGGTTCTGTCCTTCATGCTCTCTTTCCACTACCTATAGAGCAGTCTCTGTCTCTGTCCACTGGCTATAGAGCAGTCTCTGTCTCTGTCCACTGGCTATAGAGCAGTCTCTGTCCTCTATGTTGTCTATTCACTGGCAGTAGACCAGGCTCTGTCCTCCACACTCTCTGTCCACTGTCTGTTTGAGTTTTTGCTCACTGTGAAATCTCTCACAAAGACTGTCACTTTTAAAAGACATTTAACCACTTCCATTCATGCAAAGTTCAGTTGCGACACCATTGTGCATGTTATTAGCATTCTAGCTGCCTCTATTTAAACCACGAACACTTCAGTTTAATTATTTTACTATTTAATATAAAATAAATTTATTATTATTATTTATTAGGTTGGTTTTAATTATAGTTATTCTTATTGCTTAATTGCTTAACTGTTTTTTTATTTCAAAATAATTAAGAATGAATTGTTCTAATTTTAACCTTTTTTTAACTAGAATCTTCAGCAGCAAGTCTCCCTCTGTGAGGTTATTAGTCTCCATCATTACTATCATATAACCCACTGCATTTACCCATAAGCCCAAGCAGTGGCTGAGTCGCCGCTAACTGTCATCGGTGCTGTCACACCAGGCGGCCACCAATCGTCACCGGTCTATCTGCGGCGATTTGAGCAGCTTGCCGGCTGCAGCTATGGTGCACATGTCCCCTGCCCTGATCACACTGACGGTGCTCTGGGCCGGCACACTAAGCCTGGCCTGCTTCTGTGACCATTACCCATGGACTGTGTGGACCGCCTGCTCCAGAACCTGTAACTACGGGACCCAGGAACGGCACAGGTTAGACAGGCACCGCTGAAGTGCAGCATTAGCCGCCGCCAAGGGACATGCAGGGAATCAGAAACAGCGGGAGCTCCGCTCAGAGTGACTCCACCTGATTAAAAGGACACAGAGAATAGATAGTTAAAGGGGAAAAGGTGCAAAATGGCAAAAAAAACCATCACAGAGTGAGGGGTGTACAAGTCACATGGCATGACGTACAGCAATGTAGCTAGTAAAGGAAGGGGGGTGGGGTTGGCTGTGACCCCCTCCATATGCAGATGGAGGAAAAAAAGACACACGTGAAGCTCAGATTTGGACAGTGGGGATGGGGGTGTATGATGTATGGGGGGCACAGACCTGCCTCATTGTGGTCGCCCACAACCTTGATACAGCCGTGGTAAAAATTAAGAGGCCGCTCTATATTTTTAAACAAATCTGTATTTTTAAATCCTGGTTTAATCCTGGTTCTGCTGGCAGAGGCTATGCTGAGCAGCAGGTCACTTTCAGGTTCAGAATTTCTAAGACAGCAGGACACCCTGGGAACAACCAGAAACCAGCCAGGTAAAAGGCAGAAGCGACATTCTAATGCCAGAGATGACCGTTAACTTATCTGACAGTTTCTCATGAATCAAAGGATGACATCAAGTGACCTTTGACAGGAATGGGAAACATTAAATGCAGGTGTGAAGTGCAGTGCTAGGACAGTTCATATCAGGTTCCTACAAGCAGGACTGAGGTCCCATAAAGGAAGGAAGAAGCCCTTTATCAATGAGAAACAGGGAAGAACCCGACTGCAGTTTGCAGAAAAATATATATTATTCACAGATGCACACTGAAAGATTGAGAAATAAGTGAAACAAAAAATTGTGCTGTGGTCTCTCAATTTTTTTCCGCGGCTGTATAAGAGGAAGACCTGGTTCACTGCAGTAATGATTTTGGCAGCTAATTGGCTAGATTCTGCTGACTGATTTGTACAAGTCTCTTTGTGTTTGGTGCAACCTCACAATATCTGTCTGCAGGGCAGTTCGCTATGATGATTATTACTGGAAGAATAAGTGTGATGAGCTGTGTGTGAAGCAGGAAAGCCGATCCTGTAACATAGAGGCCTGTGCGGTCCACTGCCAGCTGGGTCAGTACGGGCCCTGGTCCGTGTGTTCACCCTGTGTCAGGAAACAGGTGAGCCTGTCACTGCACATATAAACATGCAGGCATAGACACACAGATATTTGCCTATATGCACGTGTCTTTGGGAAGTGAGCTTCCGTCTACTGCATGCATACACAGTAAGAATGCTTGTGTTCATAAATCTGCTCCCACACACACATGCATACCACACACACAGATGCATACCACACACACACACATCCAATACTGAGGATAGTTATCTCCATTCATTTTATGTCACTTGTCTAGCTTTGACTCTCTGCCAGATTGTAGCTCTTGCTTTGATTCTATGCCAGATCTTGGCTCCTATTTTGACTTTCTGCTAAACCGTGGCTCCTGCTTTGACTCTTTGCTATACAGTAGCTCCTGCTTTGACTCTGTAAGTTCTTGGCGCCTACTTTGACTTTCTGCTAAACCGTGGCACCTGCTTTGACTCTCTGCTATACAGTAGCTCCTGCTTTGACTCTCCGTCTTGACTTGCTTCTCAGCCAGACCATGGTTCCTTCTTTGAGTCTCAGACTATAGCTCCTGCTTTGACTGTCTGCCAGATCACAACTCCTATTTTCACTCTCTGTCAGACTGCAGATCTTGCTTTGACTCTTTGTCAGACCATAGCTCCTGCTTTAATTCTCTGCCAGACCCCTTTCACTTTCTTCCACACTCTGGTTCCTAATTTGACTCTCTGCTAGACTGTAGCTGTGCTTTGACTCTCTGTGACACTATAGGTCTGTGAATATTCCAGTTCAGGACACGTGAGCTGGTGCAGCCAGCGCAGTTTGGCGGAGTGGCCTGCAGTGACCCCATGGTGGAAGAGAGGGTGTGTCACCCCAGCACAGAGTGTCTGATAGAGCAAGTCGACTGCGGGGAGAAGCTCACCTGTGACAACGGTACGCACACACACACACACACACACACACACAGGTTTGTAATTATAGCTTTCTGGGGACTCTCTGTTCATTTCTATGAGCAAAACCCTAATCCCAACAATGACAACCTTAACCCCTGCCCAGCCCTAACCTTAACTATAAGTAACCAAACAAATTACTTTTGGCATTTTCAGTGTAATAAGCACAGTCACAGATTTTTATAAAGTTTAATTTCCCCTTGTGGAGACCGAAAAAATAGTCCCCACAACGTCAATTCAACAGGTTTTTATCACATTGTGGGGAAATTTGGTCCCCACAATGTAATGTATATCTGACCCACCCCACACACACAGGGACATGCAGGGACATTCAGGGACACACAGGGACATGCAGGGACATTCAGGGACACACAGGGACGTTCAGGGACACACTTCCATACCTTGGCATGTGTTTCTTCACCTTCTACAGGGCGCTGTATTGACCCTAAGCTCAGGTGTAACTCTCAGAATGACTGCGGAGATAACTCTGACGAGAGGCACTGTGTCAGAACCGTGAAGGTGTGCAACCGCGTTTACGAGAACCTCCCAGGTGCTGAGCTTATGGCGAGTGGGTAAGTCAGAGTTTGTCATGGCCACACTGAGAGCCATAGAAAGATCAAAAGTGATGGATGTCTGTCCCCGAAACCCCCTTGTATATCTGCATGGGGACAGTCCAGTGATGTGGGCAACTGTTGTTCTAGGTATGATGCCATGGCAGATGAAATGAGGGCAGCTGTTCTAGACAACTCATTCTTTGGGGACAAGTGTGTCACCAACAGGAGCAAGGAAGACAGGAAGAGGTACCGCATGCCTGCAAACATCGAGAGTGTGCAGCTGAAGGTACAGTAAGCATGCCTGCAAACATCGAGAGTGTGCAGCTGAAGGTACAGTAAGCATGCC